GGCTGATTTGGCCGCCTTCGTTAAGGTCGGACCCTCCGACTTCGAGGACGACCTCTTCCAGGTCGACGCGAGCCGTATTTCTCCCTCCCCCTCTCCTAACTTTCCTATTTTTCTTCCTCCCCCGGGTGTCCGACCTTCCCTCCACCTTTTCTCCCTTCGAGAGGCGATAGGGGTTGGCCCCGGGGAAGGAAAGAGTTGGCCCTGCAGTTACCTCCGACGAGGTCCCCCATATTGGACGGATTTTCCGCTCAAGTTCACGACCCGAACTTCGACTCTCCCTCTCTCTCTTACTTTCTCCTGGCTCCTCGGAAATGCACTTTGTAACGCAATTACCCGGCTCGCCAGAACGGGCCGCGCGATGAAAGCAAACGCCGAGAAATATAAATGCGAATGCTCCAATTCCGTGGGCTCGCGTGCCGCGAAATGCCCTACTCCGGGATCGCGATGTTAGCCTCGTTTATCACGTCGCGTGTTATCGCCTTTCGACCACGAAAACGCGCCCCGAGACTCGGCGGTGATAAATAAATTAATCGTAAACTCTTAATGTTCATTTCTCTATGCAAATCAGACCGAACGACGCGAGTGGGTTAGTCGGGTGGATGAAATTCCTCCCTTCGGGGTCGCGACCTCTCGGCAGCGAAAAATGTTCGAATTATTTAGTCATGAATTTTTTTTTAATTTTTTTCTAGGCGCGAAAATTAAATTATCACCGTATAGGAAATCCGCGATTCGAGGTACTCTCGTTAACTCGAGCCTCGGCCCGAGCTTTCTCTCTCGGGGAAATATTCTTCCCTGTCGGTGTCACTTTCGTCCTCGTTATCGGAACGAAACACGCCTCCCTATCGCGTCGCGTTTATATCACGATTAGCAGAACTACTGCTCCCGAGGAACGAGGCGCGGCTTATTAATAACTTCGGCACAGGGCGCGTCCTCGATTCCCTGCTTTTCGATTTAACCGGCAGTCGATCAAACCGCGATTCAAAGAGCCTTAACTCGGCCTTATCGCTTATCACCTCGGTGGAGAGAAGTGCGCGCGAGAGACGTTCGATCTCGCGATAGCCTCGCGCTTTGGCGTCGCCATGGCCAACGGGGCGAGGAGTCGGTAGAAACCGAGCCGAGGATATCGACGTATACCCGTGCATCGATATATCGAACGCGGGACCCAATATGCAGCCGCGTTTACGGCCGGGCGAATTTACGGAGGCGCGGTAATACGCGAGATTTTCAATAAAGGAGGTGACGTTTACGAGCGACCCAGTCTAGCCGGGGACCTCGTAGGTTCACCGACCTACATCTCCTCCGGGATGTCGCGAGCTTTTTCCCCCGGGGCTTTTTTTAGACCCTCCTTTCTGGATCGCGAGAGGATTCCCGGAGTCGCGGCCGCGCCTTGAGGGACGTCCCTGGAATTGGGCCAACGATGCCCCGCTCGATGCGGCGCGACCAAGGTGCACCCACGCATGACTGGTCTCGGTACTTTCGGGTCTTTTCGTTCAATTTCTTTCCTTTTATTTTCATATACACATTTCGAGGGATCGGGGGAGCCTCGAACGACGTGGAATTTTTTTTTTCTTCTTATTCTTCCTTTTGCGATACTTTACTCCCCGGGTTGGCGGGGCCGATCGCTCGTCGAGGCGTTCAGAGGGGGACCAGCGGCTCGTGAATTTAGGGGAATTAGGGCAAGGTGTCGCGGCGAATCCTCCGAGTTTACGAGGAGCCACGGCCGCTCGTCATCTGGAATCTCGGCATGGTCGCGCCGTATTTACTCGGCGGTTGCGCCCGACTTATTTGCAATCCGACGCCCCGTATTTAATTACCCGCTCGTGACGGAGACACCGAAGTACCGGCCAAGTGACTCACTTGCATTGTTTGCCGGTATTGTACCCGCCCAGTCAAAGCATCCGGTGAGATATGGCGCGCGACGACCGGGCCGATACCTAGCCCCGGCATCTCCGCTGATTTCGAGCCTCGCGTCCTGGAAACTTCCATTTTGGAGGATCCCTTATCTGCGTCCGCGTGAATCACGCCCGGAAAAGATCGTCGGCCCGGAAGATTCGCGAAAGGAGGGGCGATGCGGCGAGTGGACGAGGTCCCCGTCCCGGGGGGCAGCCGGATGAGAGGATCGATCAGCGCCGGAGACCGCCTTTTATCGGCATCGATCAGAACCCGAGAACGTCCTCGTACCGACGGAGCCAGCCCACGGGACTTAACCAAATGAGATTCCTCGGCATTCAATTACCCAAAGTGCCTCCTCGACGGTTGACTCGACCCTGGCCCGGGGTCGGCGCTCCCGTCGGCGAGCTTCTTCGCGGTCGTCGCGTTTTCTCTTCGGGTTCTGCCCGAAAAATGGACAACCTCGATTCGAGTAGTTCCCTCCACTTTCCGCAAAAAATTTCGAGACACGTTTTACGAATGTTTAAACGGAAAGGATCGCGGATACCCACGAGGGGTGGGTCGGAAAAAGAGCACCCGAAAACGATCGTTCCCCGGGTCGGCCCGTCTTTTTCTCCCGTTCGATGCTCGAGGAGAGGATAAAGGGACGAGAGGAGGCCTCCTTTCCCACGGGAGGACGGAGGGGATATTTATGGCGACCGGGCCCTTTTTTGCGGGCGTTATGACGCAGTTGACACCCCGTCGCGAGGTCGTCGGGGCAAATAGAAAACCGTGAAATATGTCGTACACGCACTTGGGCGGCCGACAGCCGACAATGTTTGTCCCGCCGGCGGATTATTACGGGGCGAGTTACACCCCCTGACATCCCCCATTAGGACGTCGCGGCCCCGGGTGTGCTTGCATTAAATATACCAGCGAGAGAGCGGGGGTAGGGTGAGTCTCCTCCGCACCCTGCTGGATTATAATTTGCCGAAATACCCGCCCTGGACGAGGCGTTTTTACCCTCCTCCGTTCGTTCCCCGCGAACCGCGAGATCCGGGGATTGTCGCGTTTGTCCCGCTTACACGTCGCCGCGTCTCGGGTAAACCAGCCTATAACGCGAAGTCGCGCGTTTCCCTTGCGGAAAATCGGAGCGACGCGCACGGCCGCAGGCCGTATATCTTACTTCCGGTGTCCGGGATACGAGCTCGCGCCTCTCGTTGCTTCTCGTCTCGCCCTAGCTTCTCCCTGTCTACCTTCCCGTCGGTTTCCCGATTTCCATGCCGCCACGACAGCCTTTGTCCGCCCTCGCGGATACTCCGGTCTGCCCGTCGGGGCGGCGGCGAACGACCGCGGTTGCATGTGCAGTCGCAGCTGCAGCGGGGCCTTCGACGTGAATGGCCGCGTCCGCGATGTCAGGAACCGGGCCTCCGAATGAGCACGTTAATTAATGCCGCGCCTCGACGAGGCCATCCTACCGCGGCGCGTAATCCCGACGTGACAATGGTCGCGCCCCCCCACGCGGAAAACTCACCCCCCAGGGATCCACCTCGCGCAAGCCACTTTCCCACGGAGGTATCACGAGGGAATCGTTCGAATTTTCCGGAGAGGCGTCGAGCCTCCCTCCGGATTCGGGTGCGGGGCTTGGATTTTTCGAAAACGTTTCCCAACCCCGCGGTCCCCTTAAGCGATTCTCCGGCCCCTTTCTCGCGGCCGAACAAGAGGAAATAATTCGGCGCTAACGACAGCAATTACAACCCTAGCCGGCTCGCTCGCCTAATTGCGAGCCTTTTCGGCCGGTCCCTCGATGGGTCATCCCCGGGTTCGATGACCAAGGGTTGAAGTCCCGAAGACGCCATTTTTCCGGCCGTAATTAAATTCCGACAGTCCTCCGGGGAGACGCGTCCGCCATTGTCGCCCGATCGGGGCGACCCTCCCGGAATCTCGCACAGGGTCCTCGGGGGTGGTCGCGAAACCGGCGGCGACCCTCGCGAGCACTCGCCTCGTGGTTTACGGCCGCGCTTAATTTAAGCGCGGAAATTTCCGCCGAGCCGCCGAGTCCCCTCTCGGGCTTTACGAGCGGCTCGCGTTAAACCGGGACTCGAATTGATCCGTGTTTAAGAGACGGGGATAACTCTGGAGCCGAGTCTCCTCTTCGAGGGGGACCTCTCGAGGGTAGTCTATGGCCATCGGTCCGCGGCCGCTCTTTTGAATCCCCGACCTGCACTCTCCACTCCTGGAATCGAATGCTCTCTCCTCCGGGGGCAACTCCCGGTGCATCGCAATCGAGACCGCGTCGACGCCCGCCGCGGACTAATTGAATTCTTCTCGTTATTCCGCACAAAAGACGCGCGCCACCTTGCTCCTCGCCGCAATCCAAGCGAGGCATTACGGCGAGTACCCGGGCCCCGACCACGTACGCGTATCCCGGTGCACCGAGGGCACCCGCCCCGGATTCCCCCGGGGCACGTCGCGCATACTGCACCGGCGAAATTTCTCATTGAATTCCGAAGGGCCCTCGCGTGAGAAGACGCACTTCCCTTTATTGCAAGGGGCAAGAAATGCCTCGGCTAAATTAACCCCTCCCGCGTCCTGTACGGAAGTGCATCGTCGCCCGCGTTGCACCTCGACGGCGGAGGGTTAAGTCCCAGGAAATGCGGCGCATAATTCGTCCCCATTTTGCGTCCGTCGAGTGCGGGGACTTTTCGTCCTGTCCTCGGATTCTCCGAGGGGTCCTCTCGCGTGGGAATGCGACTCGCTTGTCCTGCAGGACCGGCCTAAAAAGCGTAATTTGACTAGGGCCATTAGGCACGCCCGTAAGGGACGAGGCCTAAGCTTTTTAAGGCCGTCTCCAATTTCCGACCTCGTCGGTCCCTGAAACACGGCCGAGAGAGCTTCCACTCGGCCTTGCTCGTAAATTTTGAGGACCTCGCGCGCACGCTCGATACACCCCCCGCAGGGATTGGATCGGGTATCGGATAATTAATTGCGCCGTCTCGACGTAGACTCTGCATACGCCGAGGAGGGCCGATCGATCGCGTCGAAATTCACGGAAAAAAAAAAGAAAAAAATTTAATTTACAACTATTCACGTCCCACTTTGCTTAATCTCTCGTATTCGTATATTTCCAGATCGCCTCGATGCACGAAGAGGGCTAGGACCTCGGAGAGAGAAGCGACGATCGTCCACCTCCGAGTGAGCACCTTTTCGATATGGTTTCGTATCCTCTCGAAAGTATTTATATTTGTATTTTTTTTTTTTTCACATTCTTGTTCGGATCGTTCCATTTCTATTTGGACGTTTTCTTGCATCGCCTCCCCACCGGTCCGGTATCGAAAGGACGCGCGTCCCCGGCGTTGCATAATGCATGCCGCGCATAATCCGCAACGTCACGGGCGTTACGCACGCGGGCGTAATCGATCGCGAGGCGAACGCGCGTGACCGCGGCCCTGCGGAAGTGCCGGCGAGATAACGATAATTAAGCCCACGGAGCCCACTGAATTTTAACCGGGTCCGGATCTATATCCGAATTTCCATAAGTACCTCGCGGTGCATCCTTACGAGTCGGCGGCCGATATGCATAAATTTGCATCGGACCGGTCCCCGAGGGGGGATGGCTCCTTTTTCGTTTCGCACGCTTCCGGCCCCGACGATTCTCCCACGGATCCGCGAGCCTTGCCAAAACGTCCGGTTGATTTAAACCGCCCTTCGGGGCCGCGTCCAAAGAAGGCGAGGCGGACAAGAAACGCCGACGCGGTTCTCTCGGGACTCGATCGCGCATCCCGCGGTCCCATCGGACCGGCGTCGCGGCGCTCTTTTATCGGCCGCCAATTAAAGGGAATAACGAGCGGCGCTTCCCGAAGGTTAATTAGCGGTTCCCCCGGGAGCGCCTCGGCAAGAGGGCCACCGGGAAGGCCGAGGCCCCGAGGGGACTCCTGGCTTATCGATTCCCCGCCACGGATTTCACGTGTCGTTAACCCTGAAATAGCGTCCCCCTCCCCGTTAACTGACGCGATATCACGCGATCGCGATCCAGAGGAAAGTTGCCGTTCCCGCGGGAAGAGGGGCCGAGACGTCCGGAGCGACACTTGGCAAGAGGGACAGGAATTCCTCCGCCCGCCTCCGGGCCGGGGAAACTTTGATCCAGAAACTCGTCCGGGGACTCGTTTAGGGAATACACCCGACCGGCGGAAAACACGTCCCGGCCATTCCCGGGAAGGAAATGAATTTTTTTTTCTATTCGCGTCCCCGAATAGCTCGCGGATCTGCCTAACCGCGCGGCACGAATTAGCTTTGTTTGCAAGTTAAATGAGGACCGGCGGATCTTTCTCCCTCTTCTTTTTTTTTTTTTTTCATCCCCCCTCGATCCCGCGTAAGCTCTCCTGCGAGCTTATTTCGACGCACCTGCGAGCTCGGGAGGAGTTATTAACGAAGCTCGGCCCTCGCGGTGGAGGAGGGTATAATGTACGAGGCCAGGCGGCGTAAGGGGGCGGAATGTACGCGAAAGCTCCGCTCGGGGTAGGAACACCCCCAACGTATATAGGTGTGCACAGGACACAGGTATCCTCGGATATGCGCGCGTGGAGGAAAGCTCGAGCAGGGCGGCGCGTTGAATATTTAAAGTTCGGGCTCTCGGGCTCGAATAATTTTCCGGGGCTTCGAGTTCGCGCGCGAGTTCTGCGCGAGTTCGCGCGTTCGATTCGCAGCCGCGCGTGACAGGGTCGCCGGAAGCCGGAAGTGGAGGATTTCCTACGATTTGAGTCCCCCCCGAATTCGCCCCCTCCGGGAGATTAGGTATTTAAAGCTCTCGGCGATCGGCCCAAGTTTCGACTCCGAAATTCAGCCGGCTCGACGCGACGTCTCGCCGTCTTGCAAATTCGAGTACGCTTCTTCCTATACTTAAAAAAAAAATTTTTCACTCGTTTCCTTCATCCCCGTGACTTTCTTCGCATTCGACCTCCTTCCGTGGTCAGGGGACCTCCGGGGAGGGGATTCCTTCTTTCACCCCGGGTCTTGGGATTAAACATTGAAGCCCTTTTGTGGCGGGCAGGATATCGCGGCAGTCTCGCGGCGCGAAAATATGTCGCGCCGGGAACCCCCGAAATAAAATACCTTGGGAAATTAATGGCCAGACGAAACGAGCGGTGAAACGCTCTCGTCAGGTTTTCACCTCTCCGTTGTTTCTGCGCCTGGTTTTCGGAATCCCTTTTGCCCGGGATGACCGATAGACGGACGGGGTGATAAGAATTTCGACCCCGCATGCCTCGTTTGAGATCCCGATTTAATTTCTAAAATGGTAAATGTGACGTCCACCCCGCATTTGGCTATTAGGCAGATGCAATTACCTTGAGAGAGACGCAAACGTGATTTAGGTCGTTCTTACATTGTAATCTTCAATTAGCAAAGCCGATTTGGTCGGAACCTCGAGAAGCTCGATCCCCTTGTTGCTCCGCGGGGACGTCGTTGGAAATTAGTTCGAAGTGGTTGCCGGTACGATTGCGTTTCTTGATGCCAATCATATCGCACCGCTAATAAGGCGTTCACGGGAAACCGAGAGGAAGAGGAAGCAGGACTAATTGATCCCCAACCGCGGAGGAAATTGTCCTTTATGCGACGTTTTGGGTGGCTCGCGATGCGATTAAATCTCGGTCCATCCGGGGATGTTCACGCCGTGATCCCATCGATGCGGCTACTCTCCCGCCGTCCCGTAAATGGCCACCGATCGATCGGCGGTCATTCTTTCGGTCTGACGATTAATCGGAAAAAATTATCGAAATTATTAAGCACGGGGAAATTAGCAGGAGCTGGAAGCTGAGGTAAAATCGATCCAGGCAGGGAAGAATAACTCGTAGTTTGGGAAATGTCTATTTGCATCCGCTGCGAAGACGTCCCTCGAGCCCTCCTCGTCGGTGTCGGATCGCACTCAGTCCTCGGGTTGCAAATAGCAGCCAAATGAGGTTCCTTTAGAGAGTATCCTCGTTCCTATCGTTCTTCATTTATGAACGCTTAACGGGAGACCTCGTTCAATATACAAGACCGAACCTACATCACTCATTGTCAGGCGGACTTAAAACCTCCTGGAACGGGCTTAATGCCCTTCCCGGATACATCTCGAGGACGGAGATACGACCGTGCTCGAAACGAGGAAGACGATATCTCTTTCTTCCTTCCTCTCCTGGGTTTGGTCTTTCGAGGAAATTCGACCAACTGCCGGTGGAGGCGTTAAACGTAGTTAAGGAGGATTTAGTTCGGGAGGAGCCTCGAACGCGGTTCCTGGGGGAGGAAAGAAGGATCTTCTTCGCCTCTCGCTTTCTTCCCGCCGGATGATCCTTAACGATTGGTCCTCGCTCGGTTTCACTTTCCGTTAGAGCGGATTAGCCCGCGGCGGACTCGGCCGAGCGTTTAGTCTAGACGGAAGGTTTAAGTTCGAGTTAACTTCGGTCTTTACTTATTTGCCGACAAACCCGAGGACTCTCCCGCTCGCTCCTCTCTCCGAGCTTTTCCTACCTTCGAAGATCCCGCGATTGCTCCGAATTGATCGAAGCCGCAGATAATTAAGGAAAAGTGGGAATAAATGAAAGTTTCCTCATTCTCGATTTTCTCGTCTGATCCTCGCCCGCGAGTATTCCTGTCTCCCGAGGTCTCGATCGGCTCGATTTGCATCTCTCGCTCTCGATCGCTTCTCGGAGAGAATTTTTTCGTTAATTTTCCGTTCGGCCCCGAACTCCCGACCCGAGAGGGGAGAAGTTCGGAATCCTCGTTGTCCCGGGCCCTTCGTTAATCCGGGATTTCGGATTGGCTCGACGGCTTCCGAGTTGCCGGCGACACGATGGAGGTCTCGGAATGTCGGGGAGTTTCGGAGTCGCGGAGAGCTCATGAAATTGAAATAAATCCCATCGCGAAATGGCCGCTACTCGGCGAGTTTCCCCCCAATTTTTTTTCTCCCTCGCCGCCTCCGACATTTGGCCGCCCCTCGCATTTAAATTTCCCCTCGGCGTCCCGAGAATCGCCAATCATCGATCGACCAAAAAACGCGAAAGACGGCTCCCCCTTTTTTAACCGAGACTCTCTAATTGACCGTACGTCGGGCCGCTTTGTTCGCTCGCAAAAAATAAAACGAACGAACTTCCCCGTGGTTCGTTTCGTTTGTCTTCCGGACGAGCGACCGCGTCGAGCTTTTGCGGAAAAATCGTATGCACCCCAAAAAAGCCTCAGACGCGGAAGTGGAGTCCATTGAATGAATCCAAGCGAATCGCGCGAACCCGTCTCGTAGGTGTCCAAGTGTCGTTTGGTCGCGGAACCGAGAGGAATATACGCCGATATTACCCGGGGTGTGTACTTTAATTATCGTAGTCGATGCCCCCCGTTTGCGGAATCGTGGGTCGACTTTGGCGACGACGGAGAAGCGTCCGGGCGTAATGCGCCCTTTTAATTAATGGCATTTCCATGAATTTACATGCCGGGCGGGCGCCATCGGGAGACGTAATCGACTCGAAGGCTCACCCCTCCCGTTACTTCAAATTATTTCGCCAATAGAACTTTCCGCGTGTTTGCCGGCTAAACCCCCCGCGCGAAGAGGGCTCCGCGGTTAAATCAATTCCCCGATCTTTGATGTGCCGCCTCCAAGCGTGCGTACTTCGAGTACGAGCTCGACGCCGCGCAAAGCTCTTCGGGGATAATTTTGCGCGATGATGCCCCGGGGGAATTAACTCCCACCTCGTCGGAGCGAATTCCTGGGGGAAGCTTCGAATGGATTATTTCGGAGTCACTCGACGGGCCGTTCGCTTCTTCCCGATTCCTGGAGATCGATTCTCCGCTCGGCGGAATCGAATATCCAGGGACGCCGGCGGACCGGATATATACCCAGACCGAAGTAATTTCCCTACGTTTCCACTATCAGACATCAATCGGATCGTATACAACGATCCGGCTTCGCCATATCCGGCGCTATCGCGGAGACGTCGCCCCGATTTCGCTCCGAAGCGTCGCGCTCGCGAAGGCCGTCGCTTCACCGAGCCAACATAATTTACGGTCCATCGGATATACACGGAGGTGCGATTATTGAGCTGGCTAGGAGCGACTATGGGCGTCCCGACGCGTAAACGCGTTACCGTGTATTAGTCGCCTTCGCGAAGGCGCTGGGCTGACAGGAAGTAATCGCGGATCGAGCAATCGCGGCCGATTTTCAAAACGGAGTTACCTAATTTTTTGCCGT